CATGTTCTGGTAGTCTGCAGATACACTAAAAACTGTTGCTGTCAAGTTGATTCTGCCTCATAGTGACCCTATCGCAACTATGTAGCAACTAGTGAACCAAAATGTATGAGAGCAAGAATGTTCTCAGACAATCCTGAATGGCTTGGTAGTTTCTTCAGGCCTTTATAGTTAGAAAATTCCATTTGCAATATACAGGCTACCATGTACTCAATAGCCAATAACATTACTAATGTAAGTAATAAATGACTCACTCACTCATTGGTGTCGAGGTGGGACCAACTCACAGCTGACCTTCCAGCAGGTTTTTGTAGGCTGTAAATAGACAGGAGCTAACTGAGCAGCTTTTTTTCTTCAGACTTGATGGTGGATTTGAACTTCAGGTTTCCTTTGGGAAAGCAGCACAGAGACTCCGTAAGGACTGGCCGCCAGAGCTCCCGTTACACTCAATGGCCAATAAAAAAAGTGATGACTTCTATCAAAAGTCTAAAATCTTTTCCTAACACGATTCTGGACATCAAAATAACTTTTGAGTATCTTCTTTCCCAGCAAAGGGGTGTTTGTACCATCACCAATATCTCATTTTGATCCTGGATAAACTCTTTTTGGAGAAGTAGAACTAGACATTGCCAAAGTTCATATGAAAGCCATTTAGTTATATACACTTCCCTCTATGACCATTTAATTAAAAAAAAAAAAGAATAGATGGCTGCAAAAAGACATTTCTTTAAAAATTATAATCTATATGTGCTGGAGTAGAGTCTTGAACATACCATGAACTGCCAAGAAAACAAATAGGTCTTAGAGAGGGTGAAACCAAGTTTCTCCTTAGAGGCTAGAATTTTGAAGCTCCATTATGGCAAGTGGCCAGGAGAGACCAGTGTTTGGAGAGGGACATCATGCTGAGAAGGGTAGAGGGACAGCGCAGAAAAGGAAGACCCCAGATAAGATAGATTGATACAGTGACTAGGCCAAGAGGGGCTGGTGTGTTAGGTTCAGTGAGACTGGCTCAGTACAGGGCAGGATTCAGAGCTGCTGTATATAGGGTCACTATGGGTTGCAGGTGACTTGATGGCACATAACAGCAACAACAAATATGTCTTGGAGAAAGTGTGACCAGTATGCTCTTTGGAGGTAAGAACGATGAAACTTCATCTCACATCCTGTTGTTAGGATTGCTCAGTCCTTTGACAGAGACATCATGCTTGGAATGGTGGAGGATCAGCATTGGAGAGGAAGAGCCTCAAGGGGATGCATTTATTTACCTGGTGGCTGACTAGCAGTGGGCTAACGTATATCAGAGATGGTGAAGATGGTACAAGATAAGGCCAGGTTCCAATCTATTGTTCATAGGGTCACGCTGACTTATTATTCTAAGTATTCCTTCCTATGGTTCTAAAAATAGAGGCTGTAATTTAGAGCTTTGATATCATGTAACTTCTTGTAGAACTTTACCACCTTCAGCAAATAATAGGTTTCTGAGGAAATGCTTTTCATGTTGGACAAAGGAGAACATGCAGCATGTCCCACAAAGCATGTGTATGCATAGATTGCAGAAAATCTGTTTGCTAGGATGGTTTGAAAAGTCTCTGTCAGAAAATCAGTCTGTTAACTTTGAAGAATTTTTATTTGCTATTGTCTTATGGCTCTATCTAATGCCAAGTCCCCCTGGGACCATGTTCTCTCTTTACCAGTATTTTATATAAAAGCTCACTTCTCTCTCAGAACACTAGAACACTTGATACTTTCATTTTGTACTCCATGTTTCCCGATCTGGGCTGTATTCTGCTTCTATAGAGTTAGCTTGTCTTACATTTTCACAGAACCACAAGCATAATTATTGAGGGTAGATCAGGGTGGAAGGGTTTGGGTAAGCTAGAAAATGAGGAAATTTGGAGGAGAATAGTCTAGTCACTTATTTGTTGTTGTTGTTTTTAGCCCGCCCAAATTGAGTTATCCTGTCCTTCTATAGTGATTGCAGAAAAAGTCTACTTTGTGCAACTGTAGCTCATCTATGTAGTTTTCAATATAGCTATTTCAGAGTACCTTTCAGAAGAATACTATGGGAGAAAAAATACTGTAAAAGATAACATTTCTATTAACTTTTTCCAATAAAAGTCCTCTCCATGTAGACTTCAAAGAGCCCCCATGGGTATAAAATTGTAGGCAGGTACTGTCTAAAGTGTACAAAGAATGAATAATGAATAACTAAACTCAAAGGACAGAGAGTGCTGGTTAATTCAAGTGTTGCACACCAAGAATAAACATTTTCATTTGAAAGAATCTGCCATTTACCTTCACAATAACAACTAATACATCAGAGATAATGTCCTGATGTAATCAAGGCACACAACTACATTGTTTCACTCTTTGTCAAATATGCTTACCCCTCTTCTGATACAGAGTTTTGATATCCCTGCAAAAAGAACTAATGAAAGGCAGTTTCCTAGCAACATCTTTCTTCAAAGGATCAGCAACCAAAAAAGCTTAACAACATACACCTCATACTCCCCCCACCCCCGAAAGTTAATTCCTACCTTTTAAGGGAAGTCATAGATGCTGAGGAAACAAGACATGTATGCAATATCTCTTGGAGAGAGTGCAGCCTCCCTTGGCTGTATAATCCCTGCATACAAGGGCAGGATTTTTTACCTGCCTTTCTGAATGGCAATAAACAGAAACACTGAAACAAAATGGTTTGCTATTTGCCAATGTTTCAGATGCCTATTGACAGATGGAACACTGATTCTTAGAAACCCTTAACTAATTGTCTGTGAATGCTTGGGTGAGTGAGCTTTTCCAGGGCTTTGTAACTGAAGGTTATAGATGACTTTAAAAGTCCTTATCAGCTGCAAATTGTTACTGATTACAGTATCATTTAAAACTCCCCCAACATAATTCACCCAAAATATATCAAACCCATATAGAGTTTGCTTAATAGCATCACAGTGTCATTAATCGTATCCCTGCCCAATCCTGAAGCATCATTTGGAAATTAAGCAAGTGGCTTTCTTTTGGGGTGTTTCTGCATCTTTTCTTTCTAGAGACGTCCTGCCTTCACAGGGGATCTCTATCCCTGCTGGTGAGATGGAAGGAACCTGACTTACCCAGTGGTAACTGAACTCTGAAAGAAGGAAAATAGCTTGGTTAAGAGGAAGTGGTTTTCATGTTACCGCCTGCAGAAAAGTCGCGTTTTTCAACTTTGAAGCGTGCACACGAGTCATTTTAAGCATCTAGATCTTTTACCCTGAAAGTCCCTGCACAGATATTCCGCGGGGAGTCTAAATATAGCAACAGCAAACTCCCCCCGCCCCCAGTCCAGTCTCAGGCAGCTCCAGGATTGAAGAGCCTGCTCCAGGGCGCTTTTCTGCATCTGCCTTGAATAGCAGGGCACGGAGCATTCTCTCTCGCACCTCCACAGTGCGGGGGTGTGAAGTGTATTAGGGGAATGCAAGAGTGACTTTGGGTATTGGTGCTCTGAGCACAGTCACATGGCACCGCTGCCAGCTGCAAGTTATTGCCCGCCCAGAGCCTGGGGGAAGAGAGGGTGGGAAGCAGGATCCTACCACAAGGAGCCAGGAGCCAGGGAGAGGGCTTCGCGAAATTAACAGCGACAGCAGGAAAAAGATGACAATAAAACATGTAAACGGAGCAACTGCTCCAGACAGAAAGCTGCTACCACCGTGGGCATGGGTCTGTAGAAACCAGAGTGAGTTACTACTGCCCAAGTGTCTGTATTGGAAGGGAGGAGACAAGCTGCAGTAAGACCTGTGCCTTATTTTTGTTTCAGTCTTTAGGCTGCAGGAAGGGGAAACCCGCCACAGAATCACCACTTTGCATCTAATCCCTCTGCTGTGGCTGTGTAGTGGGAACCTTGTACTCCCTTCAGTTTCACGTGGTGACCCTTTTCTTTAATATTTTGGAGACATGCGCTGTTAGAAGTTCCCAAGCCTGGCTTTCTTATAGTTACCCCCCTGCAGTTTGTACTATTCATCTTCTTATTTCTGGTAATACAACATTTCCAGGGTCACAGAGGCCACAGCCAGAGGCACAATGACCTTCTTTTGAGTCAAGGGTTAGCATTGCGGGCAGCTCAGGAGGTAGAAATCAAGGGAGTCCCAGCCACAGTTGCTCCTCACCCTACCTCTCTAACCACTTAAGTTACAGCATACAAGGGTGGGACGAGTGTCACCAGAAGCCCGCACTCACGGCTTCTCACCTTCTGAGGATTCTTATCTCCGACACTGGGGTTGCCTCTGCTACTGCTCAGAATTGGTAGTTTTACCACTTTCCAGCACTCACTCAGGCTCATTTTTCTGAGGGAGGGACCCTCCGCTAGAGTTGCGCCCTTGTCAGGCAGAGCTGAGAGGTAGCTCGCTCGCTCAGCGCGAAGGAGCCACTTTGGGGACTTGACGCCCGCCCCACCATCGGCTTAGGAAGGATGTGCAGTTGTTACTCGCGGTCTGGCTGTGTGATGCAGGGATGTTAAGTCACAGTTCCAAGGCTGGAGTGAGCCACAGGGAGTTGCCTGGTCCACGCCTCCGGGGCTTGGCGGCGGCGTCCTGCGGATCTGCACACTGAAGTACTACTAAGGGATCCTGGCTGTGAGGAGACCAGAGACCAGAGACCAGAGCGCCACTGCCGGGAGCATCGCCCGCGCGCGCCAGCTTCAAGACTGGCTGGTACCTAGAGGGCAGGGCAGGGCCGGGCTGTGCCCGCTCACACCCCTTGCGGAAGGATGGCAGGACCAACGGCTGCAGTTTAGTGGCTATAAAGCGCGTCTCCAGTTTCTCCTCGGGGCACCTGGCTGACTTAACCTACCTATAACCCCAAAGCCTCTCAGCGGGCCAACCAGACTCGTGCCTCCTAGAGGGTCTTCCGTGTGGTTAGGGGTGGGGGCGAATGCAGCCTTTGCTTAGGGAGGCCGAGAGAAAGCGGGAGACTGGGGCTGGGTGTGCGCGCGTGGGAGCGCGCCTCTGAGCGCCCCGCACGCCTCCTCTCAGCCTGGGGCACCTAGAGGAGGAGGGAGTGGTAGTCTCGGGAATAAGAGGGAGCAGAAGAAAAACCTCGCGAAGTGACTCCTCAAACAGGTCCGCATTTTGAAGTCGAAGCTGAAGACTGCTCGGCATTGGGACGCTTCTCCTTCTTCCGCGCGCCCCCTGCCCCCGCGCCCAGGCCGCCCGCCCCCGTTGGGGAGGTCGCGAGCCGGTGGCGCCCCGTCGGCTGCTGGCTTCCTCCTCTCAGCTCGGCGGCGCATGAGGCCGCTGCCCCCGCCGTAGGCGCTGGCGCCCCCCTCGCGGTGCCGGTGATGCCATGCCCCGCCACCACGCGGGAGGAGAGGAGGGCGGCGCCGCCGGGCTCTGGGTGAAGAGCGGCGCGGCGGCGGCGGCCGGGGGGCCGCTGGGTAGCGGCATGAAGGATGTGGAGTCGGGCCGGGGCAGGGTGCTGCTGAACTCGGCGGCCGCCAGGGGCGACGGCCTGCTGCTCCTGGGTACCCGCGCGGCCGCGCCCGGCGGCGGCGGCGGCCTGCGAGAGAACCGGCGGGGCAAGCAGGGGGCCCGGATGAGCCTGCTGGGGAAGCCGCTGTCCTACACCAGTAGCCAGAGCTGCCGGCGCAACGTCAAGTACCGGCGGGTGCAGAATTATCTCTACAACGTGCTGGAGAGACCCCGAGGCTGGGCGTTCATCTATCACGCGTTCGTGTGAGTATCCGCGACCCCCGCGAGCCCCCAGCCACGCCCGCGCCGTGAGAGGGGGAGCTTGTGCGCCCGGCGCCCCACGCGTCCGCGCCCTGACCCCTTGTGCGCGCGTACAAATACACATACACTCACTCGCGAGCGCGCGCACACGTGGTGCCTTTTATTTCTTTGCACGTGTTTGTGGTCCTCCTTCTCCAGGAGCCTTCTGCTTTTCTCAGCCCGGTATCTAAGCCTCTCTGCAACTTGAACCTTGGTCCCAGGGCACCCATTGAACTGCCAGATAGTTCAGACACGTTAGGCCACAGTCGGCACGCACATGACTTGGGTGGCAAGGTTAATAGGGAGAGATTAGCTCCTCAGGTACCTAACTTCACCCTGAGCGTGGCGCCTGTTGGCGGAGAAGTGCAAAGGGAGGGCTTGCGCTCATGTGAAGCCTGTGAGAGTCCATTGGAGAGGTCAGGAGATGATGGGGCAGGATGAGGTGGAGAGAAATGAAATGGAAGGTTGTGTCCTCAATCCTGGGGGGTGGAGTCCTTCTTGGGGTAGAGTTACTAGATTTTAAACGCGCCCGGAAACACGCCTCGTCACTCACTAACCCATCCACCACCACTAACGGAAAATCTGTCAGTGCCTATATCCTTCCTGCCACACCGCAGAAAAGGTGGCCAACGTCTAGAAAAGGCTAGCGGGGCCAGGCGAGGCCATGCTTTTGCTTTGTGGCGGGAATGGAGGGTGGGGGCAGGTTTAGAAGGGAGACTGGGGCGCAGGACCGCGGGCGGAGGTGAGTGAGCGGATGCAGGATTGGCTCCAGAGGCAGAGTTGAGGCAGTGGGTTAAGTAGGCAGTTGTAATACTAAGGCAAAGTGTGTGAGCTTAAATACGTCCTCGCCATCTAGCAAAGAATGCTTAATGAGAAAATGATTGGAAGCAAATGTTTATTTTCCCCTTAGGCATTAAAAACCTTTCAGTGGCTTTAAAGTTTACTACTGTTTTCCCACAACGTTCATTTATGCAGCCGCGGCTATTAGACTTAGGTTTATCTGGATATTACAAGGTTGTGTATTAGAGCATTTGTGTTCGAATCTTTCTCACTTTCTCTTTTCGTTCCCTTCGTTCTTCTTTCTCTCTCTTGTTTTCAGCTTCTTTATAGTAAAATGGACTATAAAGGTGCCAGCCTTGGGAGACAGGTAATTGTGAACACTCAATGATGCATTCCTTGATTCTTAGCAAAATAGATTTGAACACATAAACTGGGCTTATTATTGAAATGAGGTACATCCCCCAAACATATCAGAAACACTCCCCTCCCCCTACCCCATCATAGGGAAGAAGGGGCAAGTTTTATAATAGGTGAACCTGGAATTTGACTAAGTAGAAATCAGGAAATTGGTGGTGTCTACAATCAAGGGGCTCTGGTGTCTGGAAAATTTTACATCCCCAGATTGATGTGAACATGTAGCAGTAGGTAGGCTATTCCAGCCAACTTTTCATTTTACATTGTATAGAGGGGGATGTTGTGTTGCATCGTGATTGCATCCAGTGGTACAAGTTTTGTTGTTAATATTCACATTGATTTGGTGTAGTTACTGTCTTAAGTGATAAACGTAAATTTACTGATATGCTTCTCGTTCCTACCAAAAGAGGGGCTATGTATTTATTAGATGATGAAATTGATAATTTGTTTTCAGCTGATAGTATCTACTAAGATAGTGATCTGTGCTCAATTTGGGAATATATATATATATATGACAAGTAGTGAATGTAATTTTTTTTACAGAACATTCTGTTGCTTTGAATTTACAATATCGTGCCTTTTGAGGCCTTTTGCTTTTGGAAAATAATACATCATTGTCTATTCAGAAAGGGTTACAGAAAACTTTAGTTGGTCCACATATTTTATACCTTCCCATTATTCTCTTTGGAAGTGAATGAGGTTTGGTTGTTTGTTTTTTTTTTTTTTTTGCAATTTAGCATTTTGTTTTAAATATTTTAGTGTTTTAAGTTTTTACAACCTTAAAGAATTTAAAATTTTTTAATTGGATTTTCAAAAGGTTCCAGTTTGACTAATTCTCTGCTCATGAGACACTCTCAGTCTAGTTGTGACTTTAGTGGCAGAAAAAAAATAAAGCCTTGTTAATATCATATTGCTGATAGGAAGTTTTGAATTATACATTGCTGAGTCTGAAACTGTAATGCCTGAGCAATCAGATAGGGGTGCTAGAGCCACATTAGCACAAAGAGCACTAAACAGTGTTCTCTGGGAGAGCTGTGTGTATGTAAAGCTGACCCTAGGGAAAGAGGCCATCCTCTGCAATTGCTGCTTTGTTTTAAGATAAGTTTTAGACTATGTGAACTTCATACATTAAACGAATAAAAGTCAAGTTGCCTTCAGCTGTAGGTCTAACAAACTCATTAACCAAAAAGGAAGTTATAAGCAAACAATTTCTAAAGAGGTGTAACTAACTAATTCCTTGCCAACCTGGGAATCCCCAAATCTTACTTTAATAACAGTTTTTGTAGCACATTAAGGTTCTTGCCAAGAGCAAGTGCACTGTGATTAATGAGGTACTTCAGGGATGGCTTTTACTTGGTCGACTAGTATTTTTACTGCCAAGGAAAGGAAAAGTCTATTTAAAGTTATGTTTCATGTAAAGAAAAAATTCTTTCAAATAGGAAAAAAATCTTTATTATAATGACATTTTAATGGTATAAAATGTAGTTCCTGGAGTGCATCGCTTACTGATGGGATGGTCTGGCAATAAGTGACCTATTTAAAATACTTTCTTACAGTATTTATAAATGATGGGAGACTAGGAGAGCCATGTGTGCCATGACTAGTCTTCTTTCCAATTTGCCTGTTGCATGGCCTTTTCTTCAGTTCACTAGATAAGCTCTTCAAATGTGAGGGGGCATTGTTCTTTTAATAGTACTTTTCTCTCTTTTTAGTTCCTTTTAAAGAAATTTTCAGTAGAATAATGTTGTGATAGAGAAACATGTGATTTTTTTTTTTTTTTTAGGATTCCCTGCACAAATTTATATTGATGCAGGCAATGGGTTTATGCAGAAATCATACAGCAAATAGTTTTGAAGATAACATAGAATTCATCACTTTGATTCCTGTATCCTTGTCTGGTTTAGTGCTAGATCAGAAATTATAGAGATTTTAAATGAGAGGAGCAGTAGATTGTTTTTTGTTTTGTTATGAGCCCTTCAGTCAGCTATGACTCACAGAGACCCTATGAACAGTAGTTCCGAACCTTGGCCTATCTTATGTCAACCTCACCACATCTGACATAACTGCCCCCATTGTCACTGTCATTGTATCAATCCATATCAACCAGGGTCTTCCTCTTCTGAGTTGACCCTCTGCCATTCCAAGTATGATGTCTTTCTCTAAGGGCCAGTCCCTCCTGGCAACATGGCCAAAGTTTCCAAATCCTTGCCTCCAAGGAGCAACCTGGTTTCACTATCTCTAGAACAGACCTATTTGTTCTGTTGGTAAATTTTTATTTTCTGAGAAAAAAAATCACTTGCTTTTCAACAGAAAAATGCTGCCTGTATTTGTAGCTCAAAATTTCTCCTTGATGCCTTCATTTTTCTCGTACTTGTTGGCATCCCAAAAGGTCATTGATTTCTATTTGTCCACCGTCTGAATAGCCCTAAAATCTGTGTCTTTTCTAACTGACCACCACAGTCTCACTTTGCTTTTCAGTCTCTCCATCAGATAGTTTGTAATATTTTCCTGTTCGTTCAACTGATGCCTGTACTTAGTGCTTTTCTTAAAATGCAGAACTTGTCATATCATTTCCTGGTCTAAAAATAATTTTATACCTACCCTACCCGTTATTAGCATCAAGGACTCTCCTTCATAGGGTCCCTATGAGTCGCCTGCGACTCGACGGCACTTAACAACGACAACAACAACCCATCATTAATTATTCCAACTATCTAATATAAGTGTATTGTGTGCTAATTCACATATTGTTGTTGTTGTTGTTTAATGCTGTCGAGTCATAGACGACTCATAGCGACCCTATGAACGAACAGCCTGAGCACTGTTGGTACATAGAGTTTCCGGAGGCAAGCCATTTTGGAAGTGGATGCCGCTCCTGCTTCCAGGCTTGATTTAGTCGGGAAGCTCCAGCCAACACTGTCCAACATGGGTGCCCATTACCACAACTGGCACATCACTGTCACAGGCTTCAGCATCACAGCAACCACGAGTTACCTCTATACAGCAACGCACAGACCAGTGCTATACCACTTAGAAGAATGTTTGACAGGAAGACAATTTGAACCTGGCCGAGGGCCACAGATGAAAAATCACCCACCTTCGGCTTGAGGAATGAACACCATTTCAGTTTGAAATTACTACAAGTGTTTGAGGAATTAAGTGTAAAACAATGCACCATTACAGGTATCACTCCAGAGGTATCTACCAAAAAAAAAAAAAAGCAAACAAAACCCAGAAAACTCAACAACAACAAAAAACCACAAGAAAAGGAAGTGTGGGGGGATTTGACTGCAGAAGGGTCAGCTTAGAGGAAGTGAGGAATGAACTGAGTTTTGACAAATCAGTGGTTAATTTTCAGGTGAGCAAAGCATGGGGATTGATTAGTCCTGATAAAGTGAAGCTATGTAATTATAAATCAGCACAGTAATTCCAGGTACACATGTATTTTCAGAATGAGGAGAGCAACAAGAAAAGTAGGTAAATTCAAAATAATATGCTTCATCTTACATAGACTCATGTGTTGGCCATGGAGTTTGGTCTTTTATTCTATAGGTATTAATGACTATTGAATAATGGGGATGATAGATATGATTTGAGAAATGCCTATCTTTTAGGAGTTCTGTAAATGAAAGTAAGGGTGAAAAAGGAAGTAAATATAATGTATTAATTTTTAAAAAAGAATAGTTATAACAAGTTTCCCCTTCATTCTTGCATTCTCCTTTTTCATGAATTTATTCTGCAAATATTTCTTGATTATCCATTATGTACCA